CATTAAGTAAATAAATATTAACAAACCTCAGCCTAAATCCAAACGGAATATTAAGTCATTGAGCAGTGGATGTAATTACTCTGCACTGTCACAATAGTTTCTGTTTACTTATTCCTTTTAAAGACAAAGCCCACTTAAGACGAGGCTCATTTCATGGATGAGATGAAGTCGGAATCACTTTCTCCACTGTAAAGGCATCCCAGTAGACCACTAGACCACGTTTCTACACAAGATTAAGTACAGTGTTGATCGAAGGGTTTAAGCAAACTGCACTGAATCAGGGGGTAATTGTGTTGCGGTGAGTTCTGATGTGGTTTGGATGTAATCTCATATTCCTCTTAGGCATGCTTATGTGCGTATGTATTTGATTGATTAAAGAGGCTGTTTATGTGTGTGTGCAGCAGTGGAGATCAGCACAGAGTACAGCTCAGTCAGCCCATCCTGGCTGTTCAGAGCAAACGGGGCTGTAATTATCCTCCTGTCATCTCAGGAGGTCGGCTGGGATTTGGGGAATGTGTCCCCCTCCTCCACATCCTTGTTCTTTTCACCTTTCAACCCCATCGTTCTCCTCAGCATAAGGGCATTTCTTCAGCTGGAGGATCACACTGTCACACCAGAGTGGACAAGACTGGCCGTTCGGTGTCCATCTCAGTGATGTGTGTGAGTATGTGAATGGTTTGTGAGAGCATGAAATCAATCACCTCTGGTTCAGATATGCATTATAGTCACATTTCAACCATAACTCACGTCATGGTGCAGCCTGCCAGAAATTGATCCGCTTATGCCTCTGAGAAAATGCCAAGAATATCACAAAAATAACTTTAAATCAGTTTTATTGTTCTCTCGTCTGCTTCTCGCACTCCCCCTCTCTCTCACTTGGCACAATGTGCACTTAATTAAATTGACTTTGAAGTGACTATGACATCATGATTTGGCTGTTATTCTTCTGGACGTGTTTGGACTTCTGGGTTCCCATGGAAACTCTGATGTAATGGCCACGCAGACTTGTTTTCAGGAAACCCACAGCTTACACGTGGTGAAATAGATGGGCTTTTGTTTTTTTAAAAGGATCGGTGGTTTGTCAACAGCAGATGAAAGCCAGACAGGGTTCGCAGGGCATTGGTTCGCTCAAACTGAGGATGAAACTTCAGCCTTTAGACTGATGGGTTGACATTTTCTCAATGTGAACAGGAAAAGTTTCAGTCTATGTCATCACGGCTGAATGTGGTTAAAGAACCATGTGCTCTAAAGCCTTAGTGGTTCACCCGGTGTGTGTTAAAGTTTAGTGACATAGAATTCATGATCTGTGGTTAACTTGACTGTTTACTGCATGTTTCCCACCATGCCTCATTCTTTCGAATAAGGCCAGACTGGTTATTTTGGGAGGGCACCACTGATCCATTTATAATAAGTCAAAGTAGTTAATATTGCTAGAAAGATTTTTTACATGATTCCACAAAAATGTCTCTTCACTGCTGCAAAACAAGCTTAAACATTCTTAGCTAGTTTGTTTCAGCTGCTAGAGGCATGTCAACTAATTAGGCTGGGAGACCAGCTTAAACCAGCTAAGACCAGCAAACCAGCACCAAAAGCAGAAATGGGGCATGACATGAAGCAATCAATCACCAAACATAGCCAATCAGATAATTTTTCCCTGTTTGCACGCTTTCTTGCACTACTAATGCATTGCAGCTGAAAAGCGTAAAGTTGTTCACATATCTTTTTTTTTGACACTTCCGAAAAGCTTCAATAAATGCCATGCTTTTTATGGTTTTCTTGTAAAACTTGAGGGATTTGTCAGTTTGTCACACATTATTTAATTCTCAACTTCCCCAATCAGTCTCTCTCCATCCATGTCTTTTGATTATATATTCTTCGATTCCAGTGAGCTTTTGGTGTGGGCCACAGCTGTTAAGATACAACCTGATTAACGTGATTACATTTTATAGCTTGTCACTTTATGGCATATTGTTGGGCTGCAAAGGTATTAGGGGCTGTTGACACAGAACTTGGTTTTGCATTCCATTGCACTCATTTTCCATTGTTTTTTATGTAAACATGTGCAAGACATCTTTGACCACTGCGCTTTCTTCTTTTGCAGTGTTTCACTCATGACAAGGCGTTCTTAAAAAGCTGCACTCAAGTTAAAAGAAGTTCCAAAGACATGTCTCTAGACCTTCATTCCACTACCCAACATCTAGTGTTCTTCAACGCTGAAACGTGTTGAAAGTCCTTTAAATTGGCATGGTACTTTGAAAGTAGTTCAGCTCTTGTATTTAAATCTGAACGCAGGATTCAAAAATGTTTTAGCAGGCAACCTAATGTGATTTAAAAAACTAACAAAAAGGATGCATTAAATCCTATCAAAAGTGATAGTAAACACATTTATAATGTTACAAAAGATTTCTATTTCAACACAGAAATGCATTCTGCGTTAAAGGCCCCTTAAACTGGTTTAAGGGGCTGTTCACATAGAACTTGTTTTTGTGTTAAAAACTGCAACATGAGAGTAGCAGAAAAAACCTGAACATCCGATGCTGTCCTATTTACTCAGGAAACAATTGAAAAGCTGTACAGTATAATGCAAACCTTTTATAGCTTGTGGTAAGCATGCAGTGTTTGTTTGTAAAATAACAACTATGGAGAAAGTTCAACATAATTGCATGATTGCTAAAAGTGTTAAAAATAAACAAAACAGTCTTTCATGACTGTTTATCTGACTTGTTAATCTCGTACAAATTTGTCACAATGACTGTATGCATGAGTATGTTTAAATCAGACATAATCTTACAGTGTAATTTGGTGAGTCATATCAGGACTGTATGTCAGCTGCCATTTCCCAACACCCAGAGATCCTTGGGGCTCAGCAACTCCTTAGGAAGAAGTTATAGTTGTGTCATAGTTTTGTCTTGGTCACATCCTTCTCTCATATCAGTGTTGCAATACCTGTGCAGGTTATCTCTGTCACTGATCCCTCCTCAGATAAGAGTGAACAGATCTTGCGTGAGCATGTGAGGTCTTGCACTGGTCTGTCTCGGCGCTACTGATCCAAAAAGCGTGTCTGATCCATTCTGCTCGACTTCTCAGAATCACCATCATGTATCTCAGGATCAGATAAGGGCAAAAGGGAAGAAATGGTGGCTGCATTCGATACAATAACAAACTGCCAGGGAAAAGCACGACGTTGTGCTGTTCCTCCATGTGCCTGTTGCTGATCCCGAGAGACATTTACAACCCATGCCTGACGTGAAAGTCTGACATCATTGCAAGATGGAAATCATATTTGGGGGGGGGACCTCTGTTTAGATCTGTCTAGATCAAGATGTCTTGAGGAAAGATTAATAGATATCTTGTTCCTCAGCGTGGCATTTTCTTCCTGCGTTCGCTCAGAGCTCTGTTAAGTAAAGTTGATGAGCACATGCCCAGTGTGTACAGCTATAAATCACTTCCGCTCTCCCGCGGCTTCCAGTGTTTACAGTAAACAGTGGGCTGGAATGCAAAGTTATTTCAGTCAGTTGGCCAGGACTCATTGGTTGTGCTACAGGCCGTTAGTCCAACCCAGAGCCCCCCTGCACCTCATTATGTGATTAGGCCTGTTTGCTCTGCCGGGGTTCTGTTGCAGCTCTACACTCATCCCTTCACCCACAAAAGACAAACACAGACGCAAACACAACAAGCCCACTTCCTCCAGATCCATTATGTCCCTCTATTCACCCTAAACAGCAAACTCTTGAAATCCAATCGGCCCCCATTTTGTCTATACACTGATTGATCATCACAGGACGCAAGGTCAGTTTGGAAAGGACAAGACTTTGAACTCTTAGGAAGTACAGAGGAGGATTCTCCAGGGAATGACCTCTTTGTTTATTCATTTGAAATGAGTTCAGCTATTGTATTCAAATGAGAAGGCGGGATTCTAAAATGTTTTGGCAGGCAGCTTAATGTGATTTTGTTTTTGTTTTTTTTAATTCAGCAAGGATGCCTTTAATTTATTAAACGTGACAGTAAAGACATTTCTAACATTACAAAAAAATATTTTTTAAATAAATGTGGTTCCTTTGAACTGTCTATTCATCAAAGAATCCTGAAAAAAAAATCAAGGTTTTCCCAAAAATATAAAGAGGCACAACTGTTTTCAACACTGATAATGATAAATGTTTCTTGAGCAGCAAATCAGCATATTAGAATGATTTCTGAAGGATCACGTGAGACTGAAGCCTGAGTTATGGCTGCTGAAAATTCAGCTTTGCCATCACAGGAATAAATAACATTTTCAAACAGTTATTTTAAATTGTAATTATATCTCACAATATTACTGTTTTTAATGCATTTTTTATCAAATAAATTCAGCCTTGGTGAGCATAAGACACTTCTTCTGTTTGCATGATGCAACTTTCTATTTCTGCAGCAACACGTTAGGTAACCCAAAATCTCACACCTCATAATTGTACATTAATCTTTAAATAATATTTACAGACTGGATGTGATTGTGTCACATCGCACAGAATTTTCACATTCAGTGCTGACAGGCAATTAGCTTGCTGCTGGAAACTTGTCAGGACATTTTAAACCGCATATTGTCACACTTTTACAGTGTAAGCAGGCACTTTAAAACTTTAAGAGTGCAGTCTTTATCCTGACCTCAAGCACCACACTCCGAACCCAGCGAAAGTGAGACAGAAAAAAACAAAAGGCGTGACTGTTCCTCTCTGATATAGCACCGCTGAGACATTGGGACATGCTTGAGCTGGAGAAATGTGAGCAGTGGCCTTTATCTGTCAGGAGAAAAAAAAAGAGTGAGGAACAGTGAGTGTGAGAGAGAGAGAGAGCAGAGACAGAGCACTGTGTTGTGAAAGTGGAGATTAATACAAATACAGTGGAAAGAAAGAGGGGGAGCCGGGATAAAGTGGAGCTCTATCTCTCCTCCTCTTTTCTCTTGTTCCCTCCCTCTCTCTGCTCCCTCCCCCGTGCTGCAGAAGTAGTAGGAGGTTAACGTGACTGTGAGAGCTGTACTTTAAAACAGCACGGTGGGCTGAACTCACACACTCGGACACTCACAGCAGATAAATCATACTGAAACATAAGGTCTGTAAACACTCAAACACTCACAATTTGAACATTTTCTACTGTACTTTTTTAAGTTGGGTGAGATTTAAAGATGTTTTTTATTCATTAGATCAGGAAACAAAGTTTGTTTCTGACTCATTTTTGTCTCCACAGGTCACTGTTGTCAATCCCTCTGGATTTCTATAGGATCTGGGACTTTAAACAATTTCAAGAGGGAAATATCAGAGACAGGTGTAGGACTGTAAAGGAAGGTACCTGGACACATAGTGGAGATGGATGCAGGCCCGTTGGCATCAGTGGCCGAAGGCTCTCCGGAAGGGGAGACTGTGTGTGCCGCTTTGGCCCGCTATGAAACCACATTGCGGGATGCCGTACGTGAGATCCATGTGGACGTCAGTGCTTTCAAGCTGGGCATCGAGCGGAGACTAGAAGAGGCCATTAATGTGAGTGGACCTCTGGGCCGGGCCGTGGCACAGCTGCAGCAGGAGAACCGGCAGCTCAGGGGTCAGTTAGAGGCCCTAACCCGACAGGTAGAGATGCTTACGGGGTCGGTGTGTGACAGAAGCGCACTTCTCACTGAAGGATCGGCACCACCACAGAGCAACAGCAGCACCGTGGGGCATCAGTCTCCACCGTCTGCGGCCCCCAGCGTAGCAGCTCTGACCGGCTCTGCCTCCAGCCCCACCGCCACACGCTTCTCCAGCAGAGCCACCTTCTCCGTCACCAGCAAAACTAATGTGAGTAGACATTTGCGAGAATGTGTGTTTAAATGGAAGCATGAGCTCGAATGAGGTTATTTTGTAGAACTGGAAAAAAAGGATTGATGTGAGGAACTTTATGTTCAAAAACTAAATATTTTGACATAGAGAAGCCCGAAGCTGGAAAACGTATACAAACTAACTGAATGTTTGAAAAGGCAGAATTTGTCTCAGACCTTTGGCGCAGTCTCTGATAAATGTGGGATGAAGTTTGGATCAAGTGACAGATACACTGCCACAGTTTCGCCCTAGTATTATGATGAACTTTGGAATTTTTACTATGATTTCAATATTTGACATGGTCTTACTCAGTCAGTAATAAAGATATAAATGTTACATTTTCACAGAATGTTCTTTACCTTATGAAGGATGATTTTATATAGAAAACAGTAAATCACCAAAAATGACTTTAGCTGGGTTTTCACAGACAAGGTCACATTTTATAAAATTAATGCATTTTTTAAACTGCAAAGGCGGCATAGAAGCTGCACCCGAAGTGGCTTAAATTCCTAAAAAGAGGCTGTTTAATGAAGCATAAATACATTTACATGGGAATTTAAATTGCTAGAGTAATGTTATTTAATTGATGCTTAAAATAATTAAATTATTAATATGTGCTTAATACATGTAGAATTTATGGAATTCAATTATGGTAGCTCTGATGCTGCATTTAATTTACACTGAAATAAAGCAGCATATTTTATTACGGCTTTTATGCAGCATTGTGCTTTTGCACATAATTTGGAGCATGAATAAATCTGCCTTCACTCAGAGCAGCCTTCACTTGTCTGTATAAAGGCTCCAGATTTTTGTGAAATGACAAATTTTTAATTAAAACAATCACTTTAAAATGCTCAAACAACCCAGATGTTTTATTCACATCAGTACTGATCAAACCAAGATGATTTAAGCGGTTTTAACAGATGTCATTCATTCAAAGCATGCTTTATTTGATTATGTACATTTCATAGTTTGTATATTTATACTGTAAATGCTGCAAAGTTGAGGGCATTTAGAATCCTAAGATGCAGTTCTTGATATGATGGAAAATGGCTCTATTCAGGATTACAGGACTACAGCTTTATTTTGTTTGAGGAGACTCTCTGTTGAGTTGAACCTGTCAGCTTTAAGCCTTTAACAGCTGCTGCTTGTGACAGTAAAACTCAAACGTCATGCAGTCGTCACTTATTACTTTAGAGCACGGTGCTATGAAGTATAAAAATACTATAATTTGCATAGCATGCAAATCAAATGGAATTGTTTCATAATGTCTTGTTTTAGATTTCAGGTTCGTAAATGGTTTTTCTAAATCATCATAATTTTAGTAGCAGGGAGTGCAGTTGATTTTGGCTGTGAGTCAGTAGAGACAAGGAAGGCTGTTATCTTCCCTGCCACATCCACACCTGCCAACCGTATAATGAGAGAGCTACGTTTTGGGCTCGTAAAATACTCAGAGACTGTTGTGGCAGGTCTGTGGAGCACTACTTTTCAGGCTCAGCCTGCAGGAAAAAGTGAGCGAGAGAGAGAGAAAGACTGGAAAAAGACAGCGAGACTCCACGTGGGGATGTGTGCTGGCCTGCCTCCACGTGGCTGTACTGAGAGCACCTGCAGATATCATGAGTATCACACTTTATCTCTCGCTCTTCCTTCTAACTCCGTGTCTGTCTCTGATTCTTTCAGAGGCCTGATGTACTTTCCGTTCTTGGGAAATAACAGTTTATCCTGGGCTCAATCTCAGACTGCCGCCACTGTATCTGAGGCATTTCTTGTTCTTGTCTCTCAACTATCATTCTGTCTCACACGAAACAATGTCTCCAGAAACTCGTCCTCTCCATCTGTCTTTCATTCTATGCTTGGCCTCTCTCACTACGGTTC